TGAATGGATTTGAGATTTTTATAAACACAAATATCGCCAAATATGTGACTAACATTATGACTGGCATGGCGCTTGGTGAATAACGGAAGTACTTAATTATAAAATTAATTTGTTCTAACAAATAATCTTATGTAATACTTTTGCCTTAAATTTTAATTAAATATTATTATTAGCTTTCGATTAAAATAATTTTATGAATTATTTATGAAATCAAAATTAAAAATGTGATTTTGTACTTCCTAAAATAACCCTGAAATAGAGCCAAAATTAGGATTTTTAATAGGTATATTTTGTTGATTTAATGATAAACGAAGATTTTTGTCGTTAATTTCCCCTAAACCAGGAATTGACTAATGGAATAAAAAATATTTAAATATATTTTCTATATGTACTTCTCTAATGGCCCAAATAATTGGATGAACTGTTTCATTCGTACATTTAAATCCAAGCAATAAATCTAAAATTAAATTTTGTTGAGAGAAAAAAGGTAAACTAAATAGCCTTTTTCTGAATATAATTTAAAGCAACCCCCAACATCTAATGTAATCGCAATTACAAAAGCATAAATCCAAATTGCAATAATTGGCCTGAGAGTTTATAAAACTAATAAAAAAAATATTTTTTTAATATCTACTACTTTAAAATGTTTGAACGGCTGAAAAGACTTTCATTTAATTTTGGTGACACAAAAACTGTTGCACGATTCAGTGTCATTAAAGCGCTAAAAAATAGAGTACAGCTATAGTTTATTGTATTCATTATTCCAAAAATTCTAAGCATAATTCCATGTCCATATATCTAAAATTATAACTTTAAATAAAAAATTTAGAGGCAACATTGTCCTTTTAAATCATATCTGAGTTTATATTTTAGTATGTTTACTATGTGTTATCGTAAGTATGATATCAGATCCTATATTTGTATGACACATGCACACAGGTATGGGTGTTATATTTATTTGACTATTTTGTTGTTATTTCTTTATTATTATGATTTTGTTATCCAATTACCCAGTTACCCTCATCTCGCAACAAATATCTTTACATATACATTAGGATTTAAAATACACGTGACACCTCAAAATGATTTTTCATAGATATGACACAATATATTTGTTCCCCTCCTCCTACCCTCCCAGACTTACAGCATTTCCCGTAAACATGATTGGAATTGCAAGCAAAAGTTGAAAGAAAATTTGGTTAGCAATATCCGCAACAATCAATTGCCAGTTAATTAAATAAAAAGCGAAACAATCACCGGGATTAAACTTTAAATTTTTAATTTAAACAATATTAAAATGATTTTTAACATTTTTTCCTATTGATTAAAAAAATTGAAAGTAATTCTTACAAGTATTGAAAAATTTATAAATAAGTTTCTAAATTTTCTTCTAGGGTAGAAGGAACAGGTTAGCTGCTGGCTTTAGAAACTGGAATTAAATTTTGACAAAAATAATTTTCCAGCAAAATTTTAATTTGTTATATGTTTGTTCATACAATAATTCTAAAACTAAAATTCCAATTTTTAGCAAAATCTTAAAGGAAATTCCAAAGCCAACTTTCCTCTATTCATATTTTACAAAAATATTTTTAAAAAATTAATTAATTAAATACCTTTCGAAGTGCCAATATTAGCAAAATATTAGCAAACAAAGAGAAAATTGAAAGAATAGAGGAAATACTTCCTCCGACAATTCTCACAGTTAAAAATAAATCTGTTGGGTTAGTTATGTTGTTAATATTCATTTTTATTTTGGAAATATTAAATTTCTTATTTTAATAGAAATAATTAATTTTTTTATCTTTTAGTTCTCTATTTTTATTAATAATATTTTTTATATCATGTTTAATGAAATTCCCTCAAATTCCCTCAATTACATGCTTTTCTATACCAGTTATACATAACAGGGATGTGATCACTTCCGGCACGTCTTTTTCCCCCTTTTTTCAGCCCACCGTCTTCACCTTTTTTTAAAATACAGCAAGGCCCATCCCTGATATGTACACAGCCCTTCATTTAATCGTTTTAAATAATTATACCGGCTGTTGGAGAATCATTTATTTTTAAATTGGCAATAAAGTGCCAACATAATAACCGTAATTAAAATCATTAAATACATGTGAAATAGGAGGGGCATAAAATAATAACTTTTAGAGAACAAATTCGGGCCAAATACCGTCTCTTTCGTAAATTAATTATTAATTGCCTTAATAAATTATAAGTAAAATAGAAAATAATTTATTTTTGGACATATATAAATATCACAAACTAATTTATTATGTATTTATATAAAATAATTTTTTAATTAACCCATAAAATACCAGGAAATAAATGCCTAAGTATATCCTTTAAACAGGTGAATTTAGTCATATAAATCAATTTTTTTGATTCTGATAGTTAATGAAGCATAAAGTCACCAAAAGCCCACAAAATCACGATTTCTAGGTAATAAAAGCAATAGACTACTTACTTTAAATTCTATATATTTTGCCAAAAATTTGACAAACATTTTAAATATTAATTAAATTTCAAAAATAGATTTACAGTCGTGGAAAAAAGTATGGAAGCGCTAGAAAATATTTTCTTAATTCTTAATTTTTCATTCAAAAAATACGTTCTATATACCAATCGAAAGCTCTATTCGTATCTCAGTTGACATGTTTCTGCATTTTTCATGAAAATGAAAATTGGCCGAGATAATCCGGATCTACCGGATATACCAAATCCCATTTTTTCGTAAAAATTTTTCGGAACAAATTTAACAAACCCAAATGATAAAGCATATTTTTCTGAGTATTTTCCACAAAACCGCTTAGAAATATCTTTTTCCGGAACAGAGATATGATTTTTTGAAAATCGCATTTTTCGTCTATTTTTGCGAAAAATTCAATTTTTAAGCGAAAAATGCGATTTTCAAAAAATCATATCTCTGCTCCGGAAAAAGATATTTCTAAGCGGTTTTGTAGTAAATGCTCACAAAAATATGCTTTATCATTTGGGTTTGTTAAATTTGTTCCGAAAAATTTTTACGAAAAAATGGGATTTGGTATATCCGGTAGATCCGGATTATCTCGGCCAATTTTCATTTTCATGAAAAATGCAGAAACATGTCAACTGAGATACGAATAGAGCTTTCGATTGGTATATAGAACGTATTTTTTGAATGAAAAATTAAGAATTAAGAAAATATTTTCTAGCGCTTCCATACTTTTTTCCACGACTGTATATAATATTTACTAAATGACAAATAAAAACTAGATTAATGTAAAAAACGTTTTTTTGAAGCAAATTAAAAGTATTTATTACTTTAATTTAATTTTAGCTTTTATTATATTAAATTCACCTGTCGTAAATTATTTATTGGCTATAGTTAAGAACTCTTTGTATAATTTATTTTAATAAAACGAGGGAAAGTAAGTTAATTAAGTGTAAATTTAGAATGGTTTAAGAAAAAAATTTGAAGAAAAAATTTCTAAAAAATTGCCCAAAAGTACAAATTGCTACAAAATAATTTAAAAATTCAAAAAAATATTGAATGTTAAATGGGGAATTCTTGATTTTTTGTTTGAACATCAAATAATCTTTAACTGCTACGCTGTAGGTTAAATGCACAATGAATAGTAAATTTATGCCAAGTTTACCCACAGGACAGAATCAAAGCTGACATTTATTAGTACCCCTTCACTCACCAGTTTCATTTTGATATAGAGACCCAGCTCTATTTTGATATACTTTTGGAGTGGAGCTCGTGTCACAAAATACGAGACACGAGATTCACAAGATACGAAACGAGCTCCACCCCTGATATACTCGCAGTTATTAATTTTGTTAAATTCTGATATTAAAATATATTTAAATATAAATTTTTGGATAAATTTTATTTTTGTACATTTAATCAAAATATTTCGTATTTAAGTTTTGTGAATTTATTTTTGAAAAACTTAAAGGATTTTTAAAAAGATTTTGCATTTACAATAAAAATGAATTGCCATTAATTCTCAATAAATTTTTTTAATTATATATTGAAACATAAAAATTAAATTAAATTTATATGTTGTAAACATTTTTCCTCATTTGCTTAATGCAAAATAAATGTACAAATATAGAAATATGATAGTAATTGTAGGGTAATAAATGGTAAATTAAAAATAAAAATAATAAAATGGAATTTAATAATAACCGTTACTCTCTTTGAAACGTTGTTTCGATTTTGGATTATCGAAAATTTTTATTGTTAAATAGGTCTCTAAAAACATCTTCAAGATATAAAGGTTCTAGAGAAAATTAAAATTTCATTCTGAATAAAGAAAAAGTTGCCCCTTCGATAAATGTATTTATTATATTCGAAGAAGAATAATACACGTTCAAATTCGACATTTAGAATTGTTGAATGAAGTTAAAGCTAAATAGAACTACATATTTTTAAAAAGTTGTAGCAACAAAAAAATTTATTTTTATAAATTTTACTTAAGATTAAAATAGGTATACTCAGAAAATTTATTTTAAAATATGTGATATTTTGTAGTTTAAATACAAAATCTGTGGTAAAAAACTAAACAATTTTAATTGTCACTTTAACATTCGGTTCAGCTGTTCCGGGTATCCGAATATCCAAAATTTTCGGTTCAATTATTGGCATCCAGGAACCACCAACCTTGGTTGACATTTAGAATTGTTTAGTATAGAAAATAAAATGAAAATGATCGAATAATAATTATGATCTGGAATTTGTAAAAATATTATGTACATACCGTATTTACTCGATTAATTCCCCGCCCTCTTTTAATTCCCCATGCCAGAGATGAGTTGAAACAATAATTCCTCGGGGAAATTAATCGAGTAAATACGGTAAATAGTTATGAAATTTTTATCTTGCGTTTAAGCTCGGCAGAAGACCGAGTGAATAAATATATTTTTAATTTCTATTTTAACTTTTTTTTAAAATTTTTTCTTCCGAATTTTAACTTCAATTACTTTAGATTGAAAATTCCTTTTACAAATCAATCCTCATCCAATAATTTTACATTTATAAATACTTTTTTATTAACTTCATCTCCAACTCCACTTTTCTTATTTTTCTTCTTCATTTTTTCTTTTTGTTTACGCCCTTCAATTTGTTGCAAATTTACAGCCTCTTTTACGGCTTCATGAACATTTTTAGAAATTAAACGTTTATTTTCTTCAATAATTGCCTCTTTAACAAGTTTGCGAGTTTTAGACTTTAGTAAATGATGTAATTCGTCATTAATAGGTTCTTCTGCAATCTTATTGAGGGATTTTTGCCTTTAAAAGTAAATAATACATAGGTATGTTTAAATCTCTCTAACGACGGACTTTTCTATTTCTCCCCCTCCTCCCCTCATCTTCCCTCCTATGTCCCATAATAATTCATTTGGACTTGATATTATTTTTTGGCCCTCTTTAGAGATTGCATAAAAATTTTTTTTAAGTTGAAATGTCACAGAAATTTTTGCAGAATTTCTAACGCACTTATGATATGGAGAAAACGGATTAAATTTTTTGTATTATAATTAATTAGCACTCCTTTTTTGAAAGAATCCCAATAAATTTAAAATACTATTCGATATTTTGAAACTTTAAATCTGTACCTATTCTAATATTTACAAAAAATTTAATAACGATAAAAATTCAGCTTCATATAGTCAGTTGAAGCAAGGGGTGATCGGTCCCTACTTTACAAATTATTTCTAATAAAACATACCAAGGATACCATTTATCCCAATCATTTTTATGTTTTTGGCGACAGTCGATTCCATCTTTTTCAGTTTTGTCATTGCCTATATTGCAAATATATGCAGCTGCTTCAACTAACATAAAACGGCTAATGAATTTATTTTGAAGATTTTTTGTTTCCTATTTGGGAAAAAATAAAATAAATTTGCAGATATAAAAAGTACAAAATTATTTCTCGATTTTTAGTAATAAAAAAGATTTTGATTAATTAAATTGTTTTTCCCTACAATTCAATTGAATTGAGTATTAGGATATTCTCTGAATCGGGAATAAATTGAAGGATTATTTAATCCTTTTCAGTGTTTCTAAGGATATATTAGTAATATGAAGATACAAAGATAGAAGAACCGGGAAGGTTTCTTCGAGATGGGTTTTCAGAAGAATTTTGTAGCCTGAAGTAGCTCTCCTAAATAACTATACAGAAGCCCTCCCCTTCCCCCACTTATTGTTAGCTGTAATTCAAAAAGTATTCCTAGTTATGTTATAAAAAGATTCTTTTTATGTTAGTTATATTCTTTCCAAAATAATTTTCTAATTGTAAAGCATATAGCTATTTGATTCCTAAGGCTGTGCAGTCCGGTCTACTGAACATCGGTACTGAACATCAGTCCGTTCTACTGAAGATGCTGGTCCGCTCCCAGCCGCCGAATAACCTTTTGCACTAGCTAAGGGAGAGAAATAGCAATATATTTTAGAAATAGAAATATATTTTCAAATTTGTTTAGCCCAGCTGCTTTACTCAATTTTACAAAATTTTTTAAGTTTTCAATAAATATGTTTTTTAACACATACAACAAGATATAAATAAATTTTGAATGCAATTGCTGCCAACATAGTTAATACTTTTTTTGATTTATGAAAAATGTTGTTATAGACAATTTTTAAAACTATATTTTCAAATTCTGTTGTTTCTTTCTTTAATAAAATTTAGTTAATTTTTAATTCTTTTTATTTTTAACAACCTTCCCCACCTCTTGAACAAAATTAGAGCGTGACAATTGCCAAATTTCATCATCTTCCAGTTCTTTATCGAAAACCTTTTCAAAACCTTTCAAATCATTCGTCTCAATTTTAAATGGACCTTTAAAAAATTATTTTTCAAAATTATTCCTTTCGAATATAAATTGTAAAGTCGAAATAATATTTTTAACCCTATCTTTAAAGGTTACCTCGAACTTAGTCTATCTTTTTTCTTATTTTTTAATTCCTAAAACGAACAATTCCCTTTACGTAAACTAAACAATGACTTAGATTATTTTTACATTTAATTCAAAAATTACTGAGAATGTCTACCAGGAATGGCGGGCCCGGTCTCGGGTAGTGTCCGGCACGGATAGTACCAAATAGTTCTTTTAGGTACTACTGGTATTGGTACCGAAAAAATCTATTTATTAAGGTCAAATAGTTTCACGGTTTCGTGTAAACTGCCCCATTCCTGATATTTTTTTTTATAATTCTTGCGAATATTTTATACCATTATATTTACTGTTATCATCATTCGATATATTTAATTCATTATTATCCCGATTTAATGGCCATTTCTCTTTTTCATCGGTTAACTTTTTCCAATCTTCATCCTTATACCCCAAACTTTCTTTAACATTTTCGACATAATTTTTGAGAATTTCAATTGTTTTTGTATCATCTTCAGAAATATAAATTCCTAGTGAATCTTTGTTGATTTCAAATAATTCTTTGAGTGATTTTATATTTAAGGGGGTCTCAAAAAATTGAACGAGAATGGCAAACAATGAAGCATCGGCCTAAATAATTTTTTAAGTTAATAGAACAGTCCAAGGTGTTCATAAATAAGGGTACGATAATTTTAAAAATTAAAATTTAATCAACAAAATCCTTTTTAAAAACACAAAAAACACAACCCCCCCTTCAAAAATAATCTTTATTAAAATACAAACTTTGGTTGGATTATCACCAAATAGAAATTTATTTTTTTCAATTTTTTCTTTAATTTTATTTTTCTCGATTTCTTTCAAGAATGTTTGAATTATCTGATGATCCGTCATTTTAACTAAGTCTTTCTTTTGTAAATATAAATTTAACTAAATTTAAAAATATTTAAAAATAACTTTAAATAAATTCGAATTTTAAAATTCTGTCTGTTTCAAAATTAAATGGTTAATAAACTTTTTAAATAGGATAATAGAGATCGGATTAATTATCACTGGATTTCCATGGATTGACTTCCAATCATCCGCTTTTATAAAAAACAAACCCTTTTCTCCAAACTTCTTTCCCCGTCAATGAAATATTCTCTAATATTCCAATTAATGAGTGTTTCCATTGTTCGAACAAATTCTGACCAGTATCCATTTAAATATCCATTAAAATATTTTTTATTAAATATTTTTTTCTTTTCTTCAAAAGTCATTTCCCCAATTAAATAATTATAATAATTATTTGCCTCCTCATCAAAAATTGTATTTAATTTATTTTTATTAATAATAGATTCTTCAAAATCATTTTCATTTTTTATTTTTGTAGTAGAAGATTCTGCTACAGTTGATCCCCAATCTTTTTCTCTTACACTATTACTCGATCCATCAAAATTAATATTTTCTAGACCAATTATGTTATTATTTTCTTCGTTATTTTCTTCCTTCATTTTTCCTTCCAAATATTTGTATGTAGGAATTTCGTCCATAACTAGTGTCCCGTTGAAATTTTGAGGAATTTCTGCTTCTATATCATTATTTTCTTTTTCTTCGTTTAAATTCTTCTCTTTAATTATTTTGAATTAAGTGCCAGTTATAAATAAGGTAGTGTATACTGGAGATCGGTATTTTCAAAAATTCTGGATCTGGATTTAGATTAGTAACCTGGACATGATTCTTGATCTGGATCCAGAGAAAATCCAGATCCAGAAAAAAAATCCAGGTAGATCAAAAAATGCCAGGATCTGGACTCTGGATCCAGGAAAAATCCAGACTGGGTCCAGACCGATCTCTAGTGTATACTAATTAATGCCTAATAAAAATTTAAAAGATTTCTGGATCGTTGAAGACTTGTGGCATTTAATCTATGCTAAATTTATTTTTTGTTTGGAAACATTTTTAAAATCTGAGAAACATTTTTTTGTTTGGTTCTTGGTTGGCCACTTGTTGTGGGGGGTCTTTCGCGGCGTTTGGAGGATTTGGTTTTTATCCCTCAAACACAAAAGTTTTCGGGTTATTTACGCTATTATTCTGTTATTTTTAATTAAAATTACTTTCATCATCCAAACTTTCATCCACAACTTGTTTCATCTTTTTCATTTTCTTTTCATTAATCTCTTCCCCATTAATGCGTGCTAATTCAAAATAATCTCGCCAAAATTTTTCATAAACTCCTTTAACAATAAAATTATGTTCAGTTTCTATCCCTTTAACAGTAAATGAAGTTCCAATTCCAAAATCTATTCCTAAATCCAATTTAAGGTCTGACATTGCCATTGCTGGAATAACTTGTTCTCGAACTCCTGGATCTGTCATTAAAAATTCAAGTCCTCCTTTTGAAGCACTTGTGCTTGTATTACTTAATTCCATTGTCTCCTTCTTTTTATTACAATTGACACGGTCACAGAGTAAAATACTAAAATAAATTATATATTTTTTATAACATCCGCGCAATATTGCAATTTCAAAACAAACTCGCCAAAACTTCTTTTCGATTGCTACGAAAACTAACTAGATAGATTGGATCAAATTTGGAAAAGTTCAATAGGGTAATTTTGATTATTCATAATTTAAGCTAATATATCGTTAGACTAACAATAAGCTTGACGAGTCGAATCAAATGGGTTTATAATTTGTATATTTTAGGAAAGTAAAAGAATGGAAAATAGAGCTAGATCCAGACCTTGATATTTCCTGGATCCCGAGTCAATATCAAAACATTTTTCAGCTTTCCTTGATTTTTCCTTGATTCAAGGTCAAGAATCTGGTCAAGGTATTCACTTAAAATCAAGGTCAAGGATGTTTGAAATCTTGATCTCTAATATTTAATTTAAAAAACAAATACTCGTAAAGCAGGCCTTCAGCCATATTTATAATTTTCTCACTGTTTTTATACGATTTTTTATCAAGAGGGGCTATACTAATATTTTTTTCAACAATTTCTTCTCCTTTTATTTCTTTTTCTGCCTTCTTAGTTTTTCGAGATTTTTTCTTTTTTTGTTTTTTATTATTTTTTCTTTTCCATTTTTGCATTTCTTTGATTATATTTTCAGATCCATAAATGTATCTACCATTAAATTGGGCAAAGGGCGAAAGTCCTTCAGGTGAACCCAACAGCCACTCATTAGAAAGGTTCTAAAATTGTAAAATTCATACGAGAATTTTTATAGAAGGAAACCAAAAATTTTTTAGCGAGCTATAGTTGACTAATATCGGCGAATCCGCTTTTTTGGATTTGCCTTGTAGCCCTGTTGGAAATCTTTAAAAATTTCTCGGAACCATGATCCTAATTATTCACAATTTACTACCCACAAAATATTCAATTCCACTCCAACGAAGCCAAGCCTCCACTTTCAAAGCTTTTGGATGTCCAACAATAGTCGAAGTACGTGGATGTTGGAATAAATAAACAAAATCTTTTTTAGCATTTTCGACCAACAAATTATTTGTTTGTTGTTTTGATTTGTTTTTAAAAAGGTTGAAAGAAAAGGGAGACTTTTCTTTTTGAGGAGAATAGGGGAGATTGAAGAGACCTAAAAATTTTTAAAAATTTTTAGAAAAAGTTTTGTTAAGTAAATTAAACCCCCCCCCCCCCAATAATAATTTAAAAAATAATTTTATTAAATAATTAAAATAAAATATTTTTTAACTAACCTAAACACAAACTAAATAATAACAAAAAAATAAATTGATGAATAAACATTTATTCTTCTTCTTTAAAATTTTTAAAAAAATAATTTTAAATATTTTAAAATATATTATTTTTAATTAATTTTATTCTCTCCTTAAATAAACAAATTATTGCCCTTTTATTTTTTAAAAATAATTTTTTGCCCTTTTTATTTACGCCGCTTTATTTATTTCAAAATTGCACTTTTATATGTAAATACATAAAAATAAATTTTCTTTCATAATTTAAAAAGGCGGAAAATTAAAAAAAAATTTTTTTGATGTTTTTCACGTGAAAAAAATTAATTTTTAAATTAATAAATGTTGCACTTTAAATAAATAAATAAATAAATAAATATATTAATTAACATATTTATATGTAATTAATGAAATCGAGGATTTGGAGAGAGGATTGACAAAACAATAGAAAATAAAGGGTAGTCAGTGTACGCAATCCGATTCACGACCTATCCAAAAACCCCCCACACTTGTTCAATAATCCGCACTTGCGAAAACCCAGAAAAATAAATTTTATAAATAGAGAAGGCAGTTAGATAATTTAAACAGAAAAATTGTGAAAATTTAATTAAACAATGCATTTTTAAAATTATTTCTGAATTAAACAATAAAGCTACAAATTATTAAAAGTATTTGATAATAATGAAATTATTACCTATATATTGAACTGAAATTAAATAAAATTTGTATGAATATTTTATTTTGAAATTATCTTTTGTAAATAAATATTTGGAGTCGCTTTAGTAAAGGTCCCGAAAAACAAAAATTTTTGGGGTCAAAAAATCGAAAATGCATATTATACACGATGGCAGTGTTTGGCTACGATCGCCTCCACCTTTAAAGCTTTTGGATGTCCAACAACTGACAAAGTTATTTATGTTGAAATAAATAACTTTGTCAAATCAAGTCAGATTTCATTGATAACAGTGTCATTCGACTCAGTCTGAGGAGATCTTTCGAACGAGCATTTGTATAATCAAATTTTTACCCCAGAAACACATATTTGAGCTCAGCTCGGCGAGAGACTTGTATGTATTATTGTAAAGAGAGTTCTCAATTGCTTTCTTTGAAGAATAGACTTTAATTATTTTTATGAAATTAAAAAATATTTCTTGAAATGATGTAAATTAGATTAAAAATTAATTTGAGACAATCTTTTAAATTAAAAATAATTTTTGAAATTCCCATGCACTTTAGAATTAAAATTATATATAATGAGAAGTTTAAGTATAAATTTTAATAAATATTTTTTTAAATTTTTATTTTATTATTTAAATTATTAATTTTCTTGTTTAAACAATTAAACGATTTAATTTAATTAATATTCACAATTACTCTCAAAAATACTTTTCAATAAAAAAATGGTCAGATCTCCATATAAGATACGGAGTTAATAAATCGTTTACATATTGAGAGGTATCTTAAGGTGGACAATCTTTTTTTCCTCTAATGGTCAAACTATTTTGCTAAATCTTAAAAAAATGCCAAATAAATAAATAAATAAATTTTATTCAGACCAAAGGGTATACAATATACCACTAAAATGGTTGTGTACAAATAAATGTGGAATTTGAATTATAAAGAGTTTTAGACATTTCAAAGAAATAAATAGGCACAAGTAGTTAAGTTAATTTAGTAGATAATAATTTGCCGGAAATGCTTATCTCCTAAAGCAATTTGCCGGAAATGCTTTAGGAGATAATAGTTTGCCGGAAATGCTTTATTGGAGAGAAAGGGATTGTGGAGGAGAGGGGGGGAGGTTGAGGGGAGGGAAGAGGAGGGGGGGGGGGTGGTTTTTGGTAGATGGAGAGAGAGGAGGAGGAGAAGGAAAAGGCATTGAGAGAGATTTTGCAATATGTATTGCCAGCAAAATAATAATTCTTGCCTCTATATATTTATTCTATTTTTTATCCATTAAAGGCCAAATTTATTTACCTAGAGTGTTTGCTAATTTATTTACCTAGTGTTTTTTATTTTTCTAAACATTTTTTTTGAATGTATTTATCAAATAATTACCCCCTCCAGCGAGTGATTAAGTAAAACAATTATTCGAAGTAATTATTTAAGTAGATACTGTAAACAGAGAATAAACATTATTTAAATTACCGTATTTGCTCTATTAATCCCCCAGTCTTTATTAATCCCCCAGGCTCTATTAATCCCCCACCCTGGGGATGGGTTGAAACAATAATCCCCCAGTCTCTATTAATTCCCCAGTCTCTATTAATCCCCCACCCTAGGGATGGGTTGAAACAATAATCCCCCTGGGGGATTAATAGAGCAAATACGGTATATCAAAATTTAATTTTTAGAAAAATGATTTTATTTAATGAAACAAAGTTTGGATTTATTTTATTTTGTTTTTTAAATTGTTGTAAGTTACATAATTTAATTTATGATAAATTTTTTTTATTTTTAAGTATTATTTATTGAAATAAAAAGCAATAAAGACAAAACAAAAAATTCGAATCATAATTCATTTAATTTATTGTCGGAAGAAAATAAAAAAGTGGATTATATTAGTAAGTAATTATAATTAAATACGGTCAGACTTCATTATAAAGTTGGGGCTGAATAAATTATATTCTATAATTTACACAGAAAATTAAAATTTGAAAATAATTATTTTTAAGAAACTGAAGAAAAATCTACAAAATCAATTGCCACAAAATCCGAACAAAATTTCTGTAAGAGTTTAAATTTTTTTGATATTAAAAAATATTTTTTTCTAAAAGACAAACAACCTTACAATGATTCTGAAATGGCAGAAATAATTAAAAATTTACATAAAATAGGTAAAACGTTTAATAGTAAATTATTAATTGGAGTAAAGGAAAACTAAATTTTCAATCTTATTGTTAGGGTAGACATTAGGGTCGTTGGCGACCGGTTATTAACCGATGCCCCCGGTTTTAGGTTAATCTAAATTTTAGAAACCCGGTTTTTGGTTTTGAGTTTTAGACAAATACCGGTTTTATTTTGGGAGAATTTTTAATGAAATCACTCATTTTCAAAAATTTCCGGTTTTCGGTTTTTAAAATTTTCTAAAAACGGTTAATTTTTGGCAAAAAATTTAAAAAATTCCGGTTCTAAAACCGGTGCCAACAACCCTAGTAGACATCTTGGTTGGTGTTGGGTGTTTCTGCTCATCACGTACACGTGCTCTACCGACTGAGCTAACGCGGCATCTTTTTTATATATCTTAAAAAACCCTACTAGCTTGATCTCTCTTCCCCACCCCCTCCCCCCTCTAAAATTTTTTGCGGAGTCCGAGTTCCAAATTCAGGTTTTTTCGTGATCTCTCGATTATTTCCGTACTGGGTTAATAAAAAATCTGACGGGAATTTTTCCTGTATAAGCGCAAAATCCAAAATCCCTCGTATCCGGGTAAATGATTTTACCGAGCACAATTTTTGAGTGAAATGTTTAAAATTAATTTTTAGATGATCGTAATGACAACGATGATTATCTTCTTTTAGAATTATTTTCAAAAAATTTATTAAATAAATTAAAAGAAATTTGTCAAAAGAAGAATATATTAAACAATAAAACATATTTTTGTGGAAAAATTAATTTAATAAATACTTTAATTGAAGAAGTAATTATTAAGAAAAAAATAATTAAAGATCCAGAGTATACTAGATCAATCAGAAATATTGCTTATGAAATTAGAAATGATTTTCATGGAAAATATCAAATTTGTTTTGGGTTAAATGAAAATGAATATGAAGAAATTTTGAATAAAAATGAAAAAATTTTATCTGAAACAAATAAAATTTGGAAGCAAAACGTTACCGTTTATAGTGAAAATAAAGTTAAAAAGATGCAGAAATTAATTAATGTAAATTTTAATTTAAAGAAAATTAGTTATTAAAAATGAGGAAGAAACTAGTTTGATGCTTAGAAGCATATTAGAGGGATATCAGGAGATTTGAATCAATTAAGGGAATATAAGGGGAGATGAAACGATTATGGAGATGTTAAGGATCATATCCGGAGCCAAAGTATTCACGAGCTCCTCCATGATGCCAAAAGTTAGTATTCAGATAGGACTTCACATATTGCTGCAGATGAAAATTTTGAGAATTTTGGAAGGCTAAGAAGCCAGATTTCTTCCAATTTTTGGAACGCCAAATAATTTTTTTAAAAAGAATTGCCGTCATTAGAAGGCGTAAATCGGTGGAAGAAAAAATTCAGAAGTAGAAGGGTAAAAAAGGCATTCCATCCCTGATACCACCCTCAATCCTCAAAAATTAATTAATCTTTTTATTTAATAAAAATAATTAAAACAATTTTAGATGAATTTAGAAAAGGGAATTGAACTTAAAAACAAATTAAAAAATACTTCTTCGAATGATGCTTTTCAATTCCCAAAAAATACAAATTCCAAAAAATATAAAAATAATATTAAAAAACAATTAACTAAACTTGCCTGTGAAGCTACAACAGGAATAGTTGGAATTTGTGATTTTGGATTTCCTTTAAATTGTTATTCTCTAAGAACAGCTTTGGGAATTTTTTCTGTTGAATTATTTGCTTATTCGATTTTGGATGAGGATTTTGATGAATTTGTTGGAAAATGGCCCTCAAATATTTATTTTTACAATAATGAGGAAATTAAAGAATAAATTTTTGGTTAAGCGATGGAGGTGGTCATTTTGTGAAAAGAAAAAATTTAAAGGAATTTTTTTAGCAATTTAGTTATTAATTTTTATTTTTAATTGACATTTTCTTTCTGAATCCCTGGTTTTTAAATTTTCAGAACTAATATTTTTGTGTTTTTTTTCAAAAAAGTACCGTATTTTCTCTAATTGAGCGCCGCCGCACTATTTTTCAATCCACTCTTAAAGGGCCGCTCTAATGGATACGGCCATTCAATTAGATATGGCCGCTCAATTAGAGAAAATACCGTATTTACCAGAGGTGTTTCGAAATTTCGATTTTCGTTTTTCGATTTTCGAGGTTTTTTTCCTTTCGATTTTCGATTTCCGATTTTCGAAATTTTGTGATATTTTCGATTTCCGATTTTCGAATTTTTGAAAAAATTTGAATTTTTAGCGCCAAAAAGTAGGAATTTTGACTTATCGGCCATCATAAATTTTCAAAATTTTCGCCTGCGGCGCAGAAAAAGGAAGATTTTTGGCTTATGGATCCTACAAAATTTTCAAAATTTTCGCCTGCGGCGCTGAAAAATGAAGAATTCTGGTGACTTGGTCTTCCAAAATTCTCAAAATTTTCGACTCAGGCGGTAAAAAAGGAATCCCTGATCTATTAACAATATTATGTTATGGCTCCGGTATATTGTAGGATTTGCTTGAATTAATGTGGATTTGGAAGCCCACCCCCATGCCGGAACCTTATGCCTGTACAGCCCAACCTTATAAGTAAAGCGGCCTAGATCTGTTTCACTATATCAGGGGATTTTAATCAAATCCTCCATTATCCCTCTTAATCCTCACAGATCTCATGATGAAATATTACTATTTAACTTTCCACCCAGAGTCTGGAGACACCATGAAGCGGCTCAGAAAATCACCGGCTCCGGAGCCAAGATTTGAATAGGTCGGAGTCGGTGCCGTAGATTCGGATAACAAAATTTTGGGTTTGGATATCCGTGATTTCCCTGGATCTCCTATTCTAGTCATTATTTAGTTTTCCCCGATTCCTTAGAGATAAAGTAACTTTGGAGAGGAAAAGGAAATAAAAGGAAAGAAAATGTGGGAAGATAACCGAAAAGTACCAAAAATTTATTTTTCATTTTTTAATTAAAAAATTTTTTTCGATTTTCGTTTTTCGATTTTCGATTTTCGAGGTTATTTTTCTTTCGATTTCCGATTTTCGATTTCGAAGATTTTAAAAAATATTTTCGATTTTCGATTTCGATATTTTTGGATTTATTTCGATTTTCGATTTCCGATTTTCGAAAATTTTTTTGTTTCGAAACACCTCTGGTATTTACTCGATTAATTCCACTCTCTTGAATAATTCCCCTTGCTACGGATGAGTTGAAAAATAATTCCCCAGGGATTAATCGAGTAAATACGTTACGGTATTTCCAAAATTCTTTAAAATTTTAAAAATTAGATATAGTTTAAATCGGCCCTACCAAGATTTCCCAAAGTAAAGAAAAATAGGGGAAAAATTATTCTAAAAATATGTATCACTTTAACAATATTTTAATTTAAATATAATTTATTTACTTTTACTAAAAGTGCATATTTTATTTATTTATTTTAAAAAATGTGTGGGAGATAAATATAAATATTTTTGTCTGAATACAAAAAACGAAAAGCCACGTTTTAATTAAATTCTCTTCAAGAGAAAAAGTATAAATAAACCTGTTGAAATTTAATTTAAAAATTATAATTTATTTTTAATTAATCTTTAACAATAAAATTAACAAATTTTACATATAGAAAAATAATAATAATGTATAGCAACTTTATTAATTTTTGTATTATTTTATTTTTAATTTTTACCGACATTTTTCTATTTGTTTATGGTATTTTAATTTAATTATAATTAAATTTAAATTAAATAATTATTTAAAAAATCAGGTGCTGATGTCACCCCTGCACAGGCGTTAAAGTTTGTAAATAGCAAAATGATAAAATCTAATCAAGTTAACAAAAAGCCTCATATTAATACTATGAGTAAGAAGAGCGTGAATGTATATCAGGTAAAAAATAAGTTGAATAGACCGGTCCTGTTAGACCGGTCGAAAAGTTGTCGAAAATATCAGAATTACGAAAAACGCTGAAACATGTTAACTAAGTCAGAAATCAAGCTATTTTTTTAAATTAAGATCTGCCAGATCGGATAAAGATGAACGGAGTTATTTAAAATCTGCGTCGGTCTTAAGTAAATTTCCGCCACTGTATGTACCAATAAAATTTGAATATTTTTAAAGTTTCCTAAATTCTATTTAAATTAAATCCTTAACACTCCCCCAACACATGCCTTTGTGGTTGATTTAATTGAACCGAAAAAATTAAAGGTGAAAAGCGGCATTTATGCATATGCGTCGGGATTGGCAGTTGATACTGATGGAAGCGATTCAGATCCTGACCCCGACCATCAGGTTGGATTCTTCGTTAGTTAAAGGCATTTGTTAAATTAAACAGGACGAAACTGCGTGGAAGGATTCAAACGGCAAAAGTCTTGGGGCGCATCGGGTTCCATACTACGTGCTCGGTGACAAATGCCATGAAAAGACGAAACCGTGCCCATACTTTTTCTACAAAGAACACAATATTGCTGGATTGCAGTTTGCGTTATTCTTTTACAGAGGGAAGGCGATAGGAGCCGTTTTTGGGGACACCCAAGGTAATTTGGGAATTCTTTAAAATGACTAAAGAAATTAATTTTAAAAAAGGTGATTCAAAAACTGACACCTCAAACAACGATTCGAGAGAACTCGGAGAAGCCTCAGTCAAGACTGCCCAATTGCTTCAAATCAACAGTAGTGGCAAAAATGGGGGTGTGGATTCGGGTGTTACTGTGGTTATTTTCTCAGGAAATAATTGGGTGGTGAGAGGAACAAACGATAATCTAAACAGTAAAGCTCAATCGCTAGTGAAAAAAGCTCTGAACTTATTGAAATGAAATGCGTTATCAATTGAATAGGATATTAATGCTTATGTTGGATTTGTAATTAGTTGAGAGTGAATTGTTGTTAATCCTGATAAATAAAATATTGTTATATGTATATCCATATTTCTATGAATCGCTAAATTCTCAATTTATTCCAACCAAAACGGTATTGAAGCTAGATTTTGATCCGAGCATAGGTGAATTGGAATTCCGATTTCCGGCATCTTAGTCATTTCAGATTCAACTCTGGATCCGAGACGAGATCTCGAAGAAAAATTTCGGGTATCGCTTCAATATCTAGGACACTGACAATCCGATCTCTAATTGAAAACATATAAGAGTTAGGGCAATCTTTTGAAAGAATTTAAGAAAATAAAAGTAAATAAATTTAACATACTACGAATAATTCAGACATAATTCAAAAGATATCAAATTAATACACACAAATTTACGCATTTCCAAAAGGAAATGCTTCCAAAAATTAGGGTAAACCCATAAGCGTCCCCCTGCACGGAAATCTTTAGTAAAAGGCGAAAGATTTCTTCGTCCGAATACAAAGGGACCAGGGATAGAAAGCTCGAAATTATATCAAAAAATATTTAAAAATAAACAAAAATTATTAGACGTGTTGCTATTTGAAAGACAAATGGACAAATAAAAATATAAACACTCTCCTATTTTTCTCCGTCTAACTTTACATATTTATTAACGTTTTTCACTCTGCATTTGTCCTTCTTTTCTTTTTCTTTTTTTCCTCTCTTCGTGTTGTACACTCAACCTTTCTGCACTCAACCGTCCGTTAAATTAATTTTCTTCTTTTCTTTTCTTCTTTCTCTTCTACTATTTTTCCATAATATTTCGAAATGTAAATAAATAAATCAAATTTCAAAATACCAACTTTGAAGACATTAACAAATTGTCCACAAGGAAAAAGTTTTTTAAAATGTCGAGTGATTGAAGGAAAAAAGTCTTTTTTTTTAATTTATTTTTAGATTTTTCTGGAATTCTACAAATGTTTTCTTCATTTAAGTCAAAATGGAAAAAATCTCCAGATTTAATAGACAATTTAGAAAGCGGTTTAACTCCAGAAGAAGTGCAAAAAGAAAGGGCAGAATATGTTCAGAATATTGGAATTGAATATAGATATGGCTGTTATGAAGAAAAACAGGTAAAAATATTTTTTGAAAGAAGGTATTTCCCTTGTGTTTTCCAAAAAGTTTTGTTTATTTTGGTTGAAATTATTTTTTATTATTTTTTAGTCTCACATTTGAAAGCTATCCTTGTTTTTATTTTTGGATTTTTTTAATTTAAAAAATTCCACAAATTTAAATTAAAAATTCCTAGCCAGAATCTTGTCAACTTCTCGGAGAATATTTCGAAGCTATTGAAAAGAAATATGATGAGGCTTTTAAACTTTTTGCTGAAAATTGTGAGAAAAGGAAATGGCCAAGAAGTTGTTACAAATATGCTACTTATTGTCTTGCTGGGAAAGCAACAGAGCCGAGTTATGAAAAGGTTTTTTTGGGATTTTTTTTGAGAGAGGGGGAGATGTGGGGAATGTTTGTTTTTGGGGTACAGGCCAAGTAGGCGCGCTGCCATAACGGCGCATAGTCATAAATTGTTTCAAGATTTCCGAATCTTACCTAATTTAGTATTAAACGATTTCTCTCGTCAAGATAAAGAGATCGGTATCAAAATTGATAAGGGCAGGAAATTTTCCAGCAAGTTATGGCTTTGCACCGTTATGGCCGCGCGCCTACTTGGGCGTGTCCCGTTTTTTAAATAATTTTTTTTTTATTTTCAGGCCTTTCCTCCTTTAGAAATTGCCTGTAACGGAAATATTCCAAAAGCCTGTAAACGACTTTCCCAACTTTACTGGATGGCCGCTTCTGCTCCAAATAATCAACCAAATACTTCCAAAGCTGTCGAATTAATGAAAAAATCATGTGAATTGGAGGATTATCAATCTTGTTGGACTCTTAGCAATTGGTTTTTTTAAAGTTTATAATTTAAAAATTTTTGAATTGAAAAGGAGAAGATAAGTAATTTTTGAGATTTTTGTTGATCTTGGGAGGGTATTAGCCTTGTAATGAATTTAATTTAGGGTTATTTCTCAAATTGGAAAAATGAGTTTTGGAGTTTTGTAGCTTCTTATTTTTTTAATTCTATAGCCCGAAAATTAGAAATTTACATTCTCACTGCCTTTCAAATAATACTTGAGATATTACAGATAAAATAATTCCTTTTTATTTTAAAATTAATTTTTAAAAGGTATTTGGGCCCAGATGCAAAATTCGCCAAAATAAAAACAAAAAGAGGAATTACAAGAGAAACAAATATTGGCGAAACTGGTTCTATCGAAAAAGACGCAAATAAAGCTTTGGAATATGGATTGATTGCTTGTGATAATGGAAATGTTTTGGAGGTTTTTTTATTTAATTTTTAAATATCGATTAGCTCCTATCGTTTACAAAATTTTGGCGTTTCTATGTGCCGGTTGGGCGATTCCTCTTCAGAATTTTAGAAACCTTTTTTTTGGTTCTATAAATTTTCTATTAGTAAATTAATCTAACAATAAGTAAGGGATTAATAATTTAAAAAAAATTGTTTTGTCTCTAGATATCAGGTCCGTAACCAGAATTTTTTTCGGAGGGCCCTCTACCCCCTGGTTACGGGTCTGTTAGATATGTTTTATTATCTAACTTTTTTAAGAAGACTTAAAAAGAAAAATTAAAATATTTTTAGTTCAACTTTTATTGAAATTTAAATAAATTTACAATTTTTAATATTTTTCCAGGCTTGTTCAAACGTTGCTAGAATGTATTATATTGGTGATGGAATCCCCAAAGATATTGAAAAGTTTGGAAAAGGGAATTACTTTTAAATAAAAATTAATTTTTAGAGCAAAACATTACAAAGAAAGAGCAAAAGAATTAAAATTAATGTTGAGAAAAGGATGGACACCTGGATTGACTGGATAATTTTTTTTTGTTTTAGATAGTCAAAAATAGGTATTTAATTGAAATTTTGGTTAATTTTTTTGTTAAATTATGTTTTGAAAATTTGTTTTTTATTGAAATATTTTGTGGTATCGGCTAATGCCCTTCCAAAATTTTCGCCTGCGGTGCTGAAGAAAGTGAATACTTATTGTCTGCACCAGTTCCCGAAAATTATCCCCAAGATTTAAATTTAAATCCAATTTCAATTTTTTCAATTTAATTAAAGGATAATTAATATTAGAGCCAAATAATCGAAAATCACTCTGAATAGATTCCGCTAGCAATCGTTGATCATGTTGAATATTACAAGATGAATATTGAAAAATTAAAAGAAAGATTTCGACAATTAATAAAATTTTAAAAAAGGGCATAGACTTGATTTTTAAACAAAAATTATTTAAATGCAAGGTTCGTCATTTCAAGAACCTTGCAAGGACCGAGATGTGACTAAAGAAGAATATAACACAATTAATGCAATTAGAGATAAAAATGGGGAAAAACAAATGAAAATTGTAGAGGAGTACACAGATGATTTCCAAGAAGGAATTCTTATTTGTGGAATAAAAGATCTTAAGCGAAAAGTAATTTTCTATATTTGAAAAATTACTCCTAGTCAAATTTCCAATTTGGGCCTAGCCCATTTTCCAATTTTATTCTAGAAAGAGTTATGCAAGGTCGAGGCCTCGCAGAGGCCGAGGTCCTAGCCCATTTTCCAATCTCGGCCTAGGATCGACACTCCGGTCTCGGAACCTCGGGCTTGATCCTCGCCAAGTACCTCGTCGAGGACCGAAGCTAAATATACGCCCCTGATAAATTTTAAAATTTTTGCCTGCCGCGCTAAAAAAGGAAGAAATCTGGCTTCCTTGGGTACTTATGCCGTCCCTCCCCCCCCCCCCTTAGGCTTTCTAATTGATGTACGAAATGCTTAGCTATTTCTTACTTACATATCAAGTAAAAAAGTGGACTTGGGGAGGGGAGAGGGTTGATATTTTCAAACGATGCTCGCCTAATTACGTTTGATATTTTATCTTTGAGGAAATTAAATCAACAAATTAGCACTACAGGAATAAAAAAACTAGAAAAATTTTACAAAACTAAAATTTCATTTTCTTTCTTTTTTTAGATACTTCTGAAAATTTGTCCAATTTTTTACGCTAAAATAGATTTTAAGTAGATAATGAATTTTATAATCTTAAAAAGTTTATAGTTAAAGTAATTATAAACGGAATAGATACATTTTTTGGTCATGGAGACGGACTCCATAATTTGATAAAAATAGATTGTTTTCTTGATCCCGAAGGACCTAGAAAATTAATCAAAAATAAAAAATTTATTGAAAAAGGAGGGAAATTATTAGGTAAAAACAATTTTATTGACAATTCTGTAATTAATGAAAAACATAGACAATCAGAATTGGAGGGAATTTCGTATATAAATATTTGTTTGAAATTTGAAAATTCGGGGAAATATAAAATTAGAGTAATGTCTCCAGATATATGGAATAACCCCAAAATGGAATTACATTTTTATGTTAAAATTGTAGAGCAAAATAAAATAAAATGTTTATCTAAAAAATTCACAGATTATACAAATAAAGAAGAAATTTACTTTACAAGTCATTTAAGAGAAGGTATAACTATTTTTGTAGATAATTATAATCATGACTATGATTATTATACAAAATTGGAGAAAGTTGAAGATTATAATGATGACGATTATGATATTAATAATCTTACTTTTTTAAAACCTTTTTTTAAAGAAGACTTTCAATTTTTTGAAGAGGAAAATAAAAATATGAATGAAAAAGAGCAAAAGAAATGAAGAGAAATTGAGAAAGAAATGAAGAGAATTAAAAAAAAAGAAAATTATTAAAATATACAAGTTTAAATGGTGTTACGACAATTGCGGATACGCACGTGCGGATGCGACGATTGCGGACGACAGGTGTGGATATGACAATTTTTTTTAAATTTTAAAATTGATTGAGATGATATCCCTTTTTTTAGTCCCGGCTGTCAGTTTCAGACTTCTGACGTTTTCTGAATCATTTTTAGGCTATGTGGCACTGCAAACCAGGGCTGTGCGTCATGGCGTTTGGCGTTTTGCGTTTTGGCGTTAATTTTGGCCGATTTTTGGCGTTTTGCGTTTGGCGTGATTTTCCGATTTTGGCGCGCCAAACGCCAAAAATATACACCCCTAATGATGGAATTTTTTTAAAATAAATGGAGAAAGGGATGATCGAAAAAGGAAATTTTTCTGCGTACAGTCATCCAAAATTCTCAAAATTTTTGCCTGCGGCGCATAAAAAATGAAGAAATCTACTGCTTGGACTTCCAAAATTTTCAAAATTTTCGCCTGCGGCGCTTAAAGGAGGAAGCCCTTATCTTAAACTAATAGATGGTAGAAGTAAAACTTTAGTCCCGTCAATCGTTTACTCTCTTCATGAGCTCTGTTATACTCCTTACTCCCTTTATCCCTTCATATCCACCTTAATCTCAAGAAGTTCTATGAATTTCTTATTTTTTTAAATTTTTTAAAGGATGAATTTCGGCTTCTTTGCCTCCAAAATTCTCAAAAATTTCGCTCCGGTCGGTAAAAAAGGATATATTCTGGCTTCTGGGAATCTTGAAAATTCAAAAAATTTCGCCTGCGGCGCTAAAATGAGATGAACAGTGGTTTTTAAGTCTTTATAGACACTAAAAATTTTGGCGTTTGGCGTTTGGCGTTTTGGCGTTGATTTTGGCCGATTTTTGGCGTTTGGCGTTTGGCGTGTTTTTAAAATTTAAAAAATTGGCGTTTGGCGTTTGGCGCGCCACGCGAAAATTTTGGCGCACAGCCCTGCTGCAAACTTTAAAAAATCTGAAATTTTTTAAAAATTTTATATCCACAATTGCCGTTCGCAAGTGTCGCCTGCAATTATCTCATCCGCAATTGTCGTACCGCCGTTTAAATTCTACATATTTATTAATCACTTTTTATAAATATATGTAATTATTTTCTTCTTCCTCTTCATTATTATATTCTTTAATTACTTCAATTTGTTCATCGATGTATTTAATTATAAAACTATTTACTCTTTCTTCAAATAAAAAATAATCCTCAGTTTTAATAATTCCAAGACAATATCTTGGATTTTCAAAACAATTATCAAATTTTTTAATTGAAAAATTAATTTTGGATTTTAATTCATTTGTGCATATTTTGTAAACTTTCATTGATTTAAATAATTCAATAATTGCTCGAAATGTAATTAATTTATGTAGTTTTTCGGAAATATTTTTATCTGAAAAAATAATTTGATATTATTGTTATTATTGAATTAGAGTTTTTATTATTGAATTATAGCGATAAAATTGAATACCGTAAAGCCTCTAATAGGTTTTCTACCCAATTTAAAAATTTTTCTATTAGAAGGGTAATTCTTAAATATGGTTTTATTGTAAGCATTTTAACGGTTTTTTTTCAGTTTTTGTTGAATCACCCAAATTAACAGCTACAAAATTGGATGAGATTTTTGGGCGAGTTCAGAATAAGTGGGAGATTTGAAAAAAACAAGATTTTTGACCCCCTTCTTTGCCCATAAATACAGAGTATAAAGTCTACAGAATCTACTATAAACTTTCCCAGATTTTTTAGAATTTTAAAAATCTCTTAATAAATATTTTGATAATTTATTAAAATAATTAAAATAATTATTAAAATAATTTAATTATTAAAATTAGAGTTGGACAAAACGATACTGGTATCGGCCAACCCGAGACCGAGACTGTCCGATACTCAAGAACCCGATACCGAGACCGATACCATCATTTTGAGCCGAGACCGATACCGAGAAACGATACTGACCGAGACTAACAGAAAATTTTATTTTACGCCAAAAAATACGTGTAAAAATAATTTATTCATTATTTTCATCATCCAAATCATCAGATAAATACTCTTCATCATCTGGATCCGATTCGATTGATGGCTAACATCCTTTTTTAAAAAAATACAATAGTAGGATTTATAGGTAAAAGGATTATACACTCTGTTACAAAAGTATATTACATTCGATTACATTCGATATCCCACCGCCTTACATTCGATATCCCTCCAAATCCATTGATATCCCCATAAACACCCAAATCCCTCCAAATAACCCAGTATTGTATTTAAGCCTTTTAATTTTATTAAATTACTGGGACTCAGTTGAGCTAGATAAAAGAGTCGTGCGAACTCAATCGTGAGGGCTTAGTGACATGCTCGGATTTTGTAAGGCAAATAAAGAAGGATTCATCTTTTCAGCGCCGCAGGCGAAAATTTTTTGAAATTCAGAAGGCCAAAGGTCAAAAATTCTCAGTTTTATTAAAAAATACAAGAAAATTGGGGTCTTTGAGTCAGTATCGTTTCTCGCCGAGAAATGCACCGAGAATATCGGTATCGGTTTCGAGACCGAGAATGAAAAAACCGAGATCGATATTGAAAAAAAACCGAGAATCTCGGTATCGGTCTCGGTATCGGTCTCGGCTTGTCCAACTCTAATTAAAATAAATATTAAATTATTAAAATAATTATTAAAATAATTTATTAAACATTTTTGAGTTCCGAACCTTTAAATAGAAAATTTAAACCAAGCAATATTTCACTATCAATTTGTTTACTTAAAAATAAAAATAAATTATCAATTTCTTTGTTTCCCTCAAATAATTCATTTTTCGTTTCATCAATATTTTTATTTAAAATTTTTATTAATTTATAAAAATCTTTATAATATTGAAATTGTTCAATTATTTTAACTAAACTCCAATCGACATATGTATTTCTATTAATTTCATCAATTAAATTATTAATTGTTTTATATAACAAGTCAAATTGTTTAGAATTAATTTTAATTTTAAAACGGCCTGAAAATTAATTAATTATTTTCTGAAAATTTTTTTTTGAGAAAAAAAGAATAATTTTAGTCTTAATTTTGAATCCGTTATGTAAAATTTGGAACCGTTGGTGGTAGCTAAAATCTCAGAATGTTCCAATTTTTTAATGTCAGTTTTTGCCTTTTGTTTTTGATTTTCTGATAGGTACAATGGATTCTGGATATTTAAAAATATCCCTGAATTTTGGGAATCGTAAATTGGGTAGGCGGGATCCAAGGTAAGAGTATCAGGGATTATGCCGACATGAAAAAATAAATTCGCGGGGATCGAGCTTGCAGAATCCCTGGTTACCTAAATATGTATATATTTCGCTGTTTATGTATAAAATGTCTTTGACTTCCAAAACCCCATTAAACTTTTAAATTATTTTTACAACAACTAATAATTGTTAATTGTTCCATTTAAAATAATTTTTTAACAAAAAATAATTTAATATAAAATTTCCCAACCTTTTTTCACAAGTTTTTGGCCAATTAATTCAATATTTCTAATTATTTCATAATATTTTTCATTATAATAATATTCATTTTTTTCTTCCTCAAATTTTAATTTATAGCCTAACAAATTTAATTCCAAAAAATTATTTTCTTCAAATATTTTTTTATATAAATTAATTTTATTTTCAATTTCTATTTTTTCATTATTTTCTTTTAAAAAATTATTTTTATTATTTAATATTGAAAAAATATATTTATTATTTTTGATATTTGTTGCTTCGGTTAATTTACGTTGAATAATTATCTTTAAAATTATTTTTATTTTATTTACAGTTAAATTAGAGGGTCGATACAAACGATTATTAATCAGTACCTTCGATTTTCGGTTCTAGTTCGGTTAGCCGTTTTTATAGGGTATTTTCTGGCCACCTTTAAATGAAAGGAAATAGTTCCTTAAACCAACCCTTTTAATTTTATACTTCTTTAA